TATTAAGTAATAACCACTAGATTTTGTTGTTGTTGTTGTTGTTGTTAATAACAAACTTTGAATAAAGTTTTCAAAATTTCGACTCAATTGTTAAAATTGTTACCTAGCAACTTCAATATTATCGTTTACAAAAAAACAATTGTCATTTTAGTATATCTATTTGTACTTAAATTATAGTATTATGTTTATAAGTGTTCAAGAATGTTTGATTACCTTGCGTTTATGAAGATTGATGTAAATCCGTTGATGTTTGTTTAATGTACACTTTATGCTCACAAACTGTAGAAACGTTTTGTTGCAGTTAACGCAAATAAGAGAGAAAAGTTCGCGTTTCGCGGCGCGTGCATTTTGGAAGAACAATGGTGAGTTTTTCGAGTTTATAGCCCGGAAACGTGCGCCGCCCGTTGTGTTCGATTTGGCAGCCCCTACAGATGTATATTATTAGTTCTTTATTAAAATAGGTGTATACATATTATAAGTTTTATATAGAGTTCGAGGAGTCCGCTTGTTGGAGAGGAGTGGCGGAGCAGAGGAGAGCGCTCTCTTTCCATATAGTTTTCCCGTTTCTGGGGGGGTTTTTAATTAGAACTCGACACTGCACTGCGCTTCAAACGTCTTCAGCAAACGCTCCAACAAAAACCCAAAGGCGAGAAAGGCTTCTTCCTTTCTCAACAAGATGATTTTATCATCAACTTTGATAACATTATTATGGTTGTGTTACGCAACGGCCCAAGACACGTTCACCATCGGTAAGAGTACTAAATTTAACGTTACGAATCGAAAAGATTGAAAAGAACTATTTATAAAGTTCTTCGACTCTCTTTATTTTTATTCTATGAGACGGAAATAGCGGAAATTATCTTTTACAGCCGGACTCTTCCACGATGACAATTACCAATCGGAGATGGCTTTCAAGTACGCGATCGCGCGTCACAACATGTTCAACCATGACATCAAGTTCAAGACGGTCATCCAGAGGATCGACAAGAACGACATCTTCGCAACGAATAAGATTGGTAATACGCTATACTTGAATCAATTAAAGCCATTTTTATCATTGATTTTTTTTGCAGTTTGCGATCTGGTGTCTGCTGAAGAGGGAATCGTGGCGATCTTCGGGCCTGAGTCTGGTGTCGTTGGGCCGATGGTCGAGTCGATTGCCTCCAATTTGGAGATACCGCATCTGCAGACCTACATGAACTACAAGAACAACGTTAACTCCAACACCGTGCTGAACATCTTTCCCGACCCGGAGCTTCTCTCCACCGGTCTAGCGGCTTTGATCAACAACATGAATTGGAAGAGTTACATGATCGTTTACGAAAGCATCGATGGTTTGATGAGGCTGCAGGACGTCCTCAAGATTCCCGATTCCTCTTCCAGTCCAGTCACGATCAGGCAACTCGGCGATTCCAATGATCACAGGTAAATTATAACTAATGGTTATGGTAATAGATATAAGTAATGTTTTTTGTAGGCCTCTGTTTAAGGAGATCAAGAAATCAGCGGAAACAAACATAATCTTGGATTGCGATAATTCCATCATCATCGACGTGCTGAAGCAGGCCAAAGAGGTGGACATGCTCGACTACTTCCACAGCTACGTGATAACGTCTCTGAACGCCGACACCCTCGATTTTTCCATCCTCGACACGAGAGCTAACATAACGACGGTTCGTCTCTTCGAACCGAACAGCATGAATCTGCACAACGCTGTCAGGGATTGGGAGATGGGCGAGCTGAACGAGATGAAGGAAATCTTCAGCTTATCCACATCCGAAGTGCTGGTAATGACGATTCGAATCTTGTGGAAGTTGATGATAATATGTAAGTTTTTATTAAGGCCGAAACAGCTTTGATGCACGACGCAGTCAACTTCTTCACGTTGGCCTTCAGAGAGCTTCACATCACCGAACCCATAGTTGCGAAACAGCTTACATGCGACGGAAGGGTGAAATGGGACGCTGGATACAGAATCGCCACGTACATGAAGATCGTAAGTGTAAATATAATAATTTTTTAATAGGGTCGTAAACGTTCGGCAATCCGTGAAACTTTAAGTGTCTAAAATTATTGTGTGCCTTTATTGTTGTTGGCACGGAGCGGGTCGCGCGCGCGTTCAAAGTATTTTTGGAATTGGGACCGTCGATTAATGAAGAAATTTTCTTTGCTTTTTTTTATATTGTCGTGTCCCAGGGTTAAGAAATCCTTGGACACCGTGGATTATCTCGTAGTTATGTCGTAGTTTTATTGAGAAGTCAACTAAACAATAGTTGATCTCAGGTATTATTAACTAAGAGTTACATTCTGCTCTTAAGTTAGTGTTTACGAAGTAAGTGTTCTTCCTTGGACTCTCCAAGTAAGACTAACTTCTCCATTCGGCCCCTTAGGTAAGACTTAACCTCAGCCTGACTTCAGACTCTTTGACTTTTCTTCCAGACTCTCCTCCAGACTGACTTTGTATTACATAAACATCCTATTTTATAGTAGGGAATTAACATAGTGGGAGTACAATATTTGGTATAAGAAGATATTACCTAACTTTCCCTAATTATTAAGTGTTTGGGCAGATGTACATAATAGTGGTCATTCTTGATTGGATCTTTGAGTTTGTTAAAAACATGATGATTAAGAATAGTCGTTACAATAGTCGATTAGTTATGGGATTTTCCTAAGTGGTATTTGTCTTAATGACTTACATAAATTAACATGTATAAAATAATAAGGGCTAACATAATATAAACAATAACGGTTATACATAACAATATATTTTATATAACAGAGACCAATGCTGGGAAACACCGTGACTGGGACCATCAAGTTCAACGAAGTCGGAAAACGGTCGGATTTCAATCTGCACTTTGCCGAGATCATTTCCGGCCGTGTGGAAAAGATCGCCGTCTGGGGTCCGGAGAACGGTCCAAACGCTCTTAACTTCACGAGGAGCGTTCACGAGCAGATGCAGCAGATCGTCGAGAATTTGCAGAAAACCGTTGTCATCGTCTCATCCAGGTACCGAAATTAAACATCAACATTTAACTGTTTGAGTTGCTTAATTCAGTTGTCTTCATATTGTTGTTACGTCTAAAAAATTAAGAATTTCTATTGAATCGATTTCCTACAATTTTATTATAATTTTAGATTGGGAAGTCCGTACCTGAAGCGCCGCCAAGCTAGATTTGAAGGTGATATTTTGGAAGGAAACGCCGAATTCGAAGGATACTCTTTGGATTTGATAGACGCCGTTGCTAAAGAGCTCAATTTCACCTACAAATTCGTGCTGACGAGTGACGGGGCTTACGGAAGTTACGACAAGAAAACGAAGACTTGGAACGGTCTCATCAAGGATCTTCTGGAGAGGGTGAGAATCTTTACGAATGTTTAATTAACAATCTATTTAAAGCAATTTAGAAAGCCCATTTAGCTATTTGCGATTTGACCATAACGCATCAACGCAGAGAAGCCGTGGATTTCAGCTTACCTTTCATGACTTTAGGTATTGATTAATCATGATTTGAGTTAATTGGATTAAAACGATTTACTTTTTAGGTGTTAGCATTTTGTACAGCAAATCTAAACCGTCAGAAAGGAATATTTTCGCGTTCATGGAACCCCTCGATACCTACGTTTGGATCTACATCGTTTCTGCTTACATTTCGGTGACTTTGATCATGTATTTGATAGCTAGGTAAGTGTAGATTTAGAGTAAATTATTAAGTTTATGTTGGGTGTATTTTTTGTTTGTTTTCAGGATGGCCCCAGGCGATTGGGAAAATCCGCATCCTTGCGATCCGAATCCGGAGGAATTAGAGAACATTTGGACGCTGAAGAATTGTCTTTGGCTGATTTTAGGTTCGACCATGTCACAAGGCTGCGATATACTCCCCAAGTGAGTAAATCCAAATTGTTTCATAGCAAAATATTAATTTCTTTTGTAATTTCAGAGGAATATCCTCGAGAATGGCTACTTCCATGTGGTGGTTCTTCATCCTCATCATATCTTCCTCTTACACCGCCAATTTAGCTGCTTTCCTCACCATGGACAAGATGGCACCAAGCATCGATAGCGCCGAATCTCTGGCGAAACAAACCAAAATCAAATACGGAACAGTCGACGGAGGATCGACGCAAACCTTCTTCAAGGAATCCAATTTCTCAACTTTCTCAAGAATGTGGACCCAGATGATTTCAACGAAACCCAGCGTCTTCGAGAAGAGCAACTCCGAAGGAGTTAAACGCGTCCTAACAACAAAGAATCAACTGTACGCTTTCTTGATGGAGAGTTCTAGCATCGAGTACGAAATCGAGAGGAATTGCGAATTGAAGCAAGTGGGAAATCGTCTGGATTCGAAAGGATACGGAATCGCAATGCCAGTCAGTGAGTAATAAATCTTATAAACTCAAAAAAAAAATTAATATAATTAAGTTATAATTTCTTTGATTTAAGATTCTCCATACAGAAGCGCCATAAATAAAGCAGTGTTAAAACTGCAGGAAGATGGAACTCTGAGTTTGCTGAAAACGAAATGGTGGAAACACATGTACGGCGGAGGCGCTTGTGATGTAAGTTTTAT